CTCTGCGCTCGCAAAGTTGTCCTGAAGGCCTTTGCGGGAGTGGCTCCACACGTTTGTCACGCAAACGAGCCACGAGATACGAGATGCTGCATGGTGGCCGCGGAGCGACGTGAATGGCGAAGCCGCCCGTAAGTTACGGCCCAGCTATGGGCTGTCCACCGGCTGTGAACTCGCTTACGCAGCAGCTGGCTGAGCTTGCGACGCAGAGAGAGACATTGGAGAAGTCTTGAAGCAAGCGGAGGAGACCTGGATCCCTGCGCCGGACGCGCCCTCGAACCCTCACTTCCTCGACAGGCAGGCAGTAGACCGTCGCATGCGGCTTTGCCGCGCGGCTCCAGTTTGTAGACTGTAGGGACGCCTTTTCATGCGTGGTAGGCGTAGGCCCGTCGCTGTCGTTGCAGCAGTGGCACGCGTTGATGCCGGCGCATACAGATATAAGTCTTCGCTGTGCTGTTGGCTCTGCGCAACACACGCGACGGAACACAAGTCTATACTCGGCAGGATAAGGCGCTGGCGCCCACGGATAAAAAGCGTTGCGGTGCGCACCATAAATGTGCACGCAGGCATTTGGATCAGAAGCGGCGAGCATGAAGCGCTCCCGTGATGACCTTTGCCCGAAAGAAGACGCTCTGCGCACAGAGCCCAGTCAGCGCCATCAGGGACTCGCCGAGATGCTGACGCGCAAACTAGCTTGTGGATCCTATTACCTGCGGCTACGCCGTATCTCCGAGACAACTCGCCGAGCTGACACAAACAAGCGGCGGACACCGTCTAATACCTCGACGAAATCGCTCCGGGCAACGTCCTATCCAGAGACAACCCCCGCAAATTCTAGGCGGCGCACCTTGAACTTCGGGCCTTTCGAGCTCTCCCCCACGCAGAAACTTTTTGGATGCCACTGGCCATTTGTGGGCGCAGCGAGGAATTCAAGGCGCGCTTTTTGCTGGTGGCAGCGTCTCTTGACGCGCCATGCAAGTCATATTAGCAGACTGCCGCTATGCATCGCCAAATTCCTGGCAGCCGGGCGTGCTTCGCTTTCAAAGGCCTGCTGGACGGAAGCCGTGTCTGGCGCGCGCGAACGTGTCCGAGAAGAGATATCTGTTGGCCGCGCAGCGCTGGGATGATTACGATCTACAACAGCGGCCCTCTTTGTCGCTCACGTCCGAGACTGTCCGAGACCATCTTGCAAACGGCGGACGAGCTCCGTGAAGATTGAGGCCGCAGAAAAGGCGTTCGGCGTGCCGTGCGAGCCTCTAGGCGTCCTGCACACGCAGATCTTCAGGCAGCGAGACTAAGGCGTTGCTCTGCTTGAAGCTGAGCAGTGTCTGCCTGCGCTGCAGGCCGCCACGCCACTGTCGCTCTGGCATGTCACGGCCAGCGTTCGGAGCGCGCTTCGGGTGCTGGCGCAACGTGGAAGCCCGCCGCGGCCGAGCACTTTGGCGGCATATCCCATCCTCGCCGCTGTTTGTGGAGAAGGTGACACGCAATGTCATGCCACGAGAGACCGCTTCCCTGTTCAGAGTGCGGGACATCTTGGGCCTGTACCAGGGCTTGAAGGTTGGAGGCTTGCCGGTGAACGCCGCGAGCGCCGCGACCTTCAGCATCTTCAGCACCATGATGCGCTGCAGGCGGCATGGGGCCGAGATTGTGGTTATCATCTCGGGCCGCAGATCTTGCGCGATGGCATGGTGCTGGACTGCTGCCCAGTTGAGCGCAAGCACCGGCTACTCAAGGCTTACGCCTCGCACTCGCGCTCGGGCCCTGGCTTCGAGCGCGGCATCTTTGCCCGCAGCATTCTCGCATCCGCGCACATCGCGGGCGCTGCGCGGGAGGATGCTCTGTTGCGCGGCGAGGTTTTGTGCGAAGACGACACGAGCATTCTGGCGTCTCATCAGTTTTATTGGAAACAAGACCTCTACACGGCGGACGACGTTGTCCTGGCGCGGGGCGTCCCCGTCTCCCTGGTCTGCGGGCTGCGCGTCGACGAGCGCATGGCAGCTGTGGTGGTGCCGCTCGAGTTCCTGTCCAAGTCCACGACCTTCTCAACGTGGCGTCAGCGGAGAGATTCGCCTGTGAAAGTGCACTGCTTGCAAGACGGCCTGCGCCTCGCTCTTGGGTGGCAGCGGCGCGGCGACATTGTCGAGATCATCGCTTGGTGACACTGGCAAAGACTCAGTGCAGCAAAGCGCGGCTGTGTGGAAAAAGCCCCGCTCGCTTTTTCAGCGCGTGCCTAAATTTCTAAAAATCATGCAAAAAAGCTAAGTTCACCTAAGTTCCCTAAGTTCCTTAAGTAACTTAGGCTAGAACTTACTAGAACTTAGCGATAAGTCCTTATAAGTTCTATAGAACTTACACTAACATCTATCGTATCTTCCTTAAGTTGCTATAGAACTTGCGCTAAGTTGTATAGAGACTTGCGAAACTTACTTTGGATTATAAGTTAGGATGTAGAAGTAATAAGTTGGGTTATAAGTCTCTATAGAACATAGCCTAACCCCCACACATGGCAGTAGACACCCACTCGGCACACCTGTTGTTTCAAATGCCGAGAGTACGATACTGTTCGTTTGTACCTTTGGCGTGAGACCCATGGCTCACTATGGCAAACCGGTCACCAAAGATCCAGAAAGGGTAGGGGTTATAATTTATACATTCCCTCAGTGCATGCACGAGGGGCGGGGTGGCTACCAAGAAAGGGGCGCTCCCCCATATGTGGATGCGGGGTTGCCGCACATTTTAATCCAATTGGGATCGATCCACACTAGCCACAAAGACTAATTTCTGTCCATTTTTGCATGTCACTTTCATGCTTTACACGTTCTCTGGAAAATGGTTGGAGTGCGTGTTTGAACTGCACCAGTTTATTCTCCAGTTGATGCGTGTTTAGCACTCTTTCATTACTCTTTCAAACACATGCGGGGGTGGATCCACAAAACACGCATCCAAAGCGTAGTGGACATGTAGGTAGAACCAGAAGTCACATCATTTAAGCCCCCGCTGCCATGAAGTTTGCATGCGGTCTGCAAGCCTCAGAACTTCCTTCCGTCCTTCGCTGTGGATTTATTGGAGATGGTTTCCACCCAAACCTTGGAAGGCACTGCGCTAGCATGCCTGTTTTTTGGGGAACTCTTCCATTCGGCCTGTTAGACAGACACATGCGCTTGTGTCAAGATTAGAGGAACCGAATTGGTGTCCTTTTCGTCTTCCTTTGGGCGTGTCTTTTGTGAGGTACCCCTTTTGTGGCTTTTAACGGCAAACCGAAAGGACAGCCAGCATGCATGTTATATATATATATATATATATTTGGTACCCCCCCTGGAATACTCAGGTTTTTGGCCAGAAATTGACATTTTGGCTGTAAAAATGCATTCAAAACACATGTTCCAGCTTCTAAAATGAAGCTCTAAAAAATGCACTCCTTTTTAGACTGAAATTCTAGCATCGGTATTTGGTGCAATCCAGGACGTGCTAGCACGTGCTAGCACATCCTGGGTTGAAGATTGAAGATTGAAGATTCTCAGACCACTTCTTCTGGAAATCTTCAATCCGTCCTTAGGACTAACTGATATGTGCTAGCACGTGCTAGCACATCCTGGATTGAAGATTGAAGATTGAAGATTCCCAGAGATTTGAAGAATCCAAAAGGCAGACCAGGAGTGCACGTTGTCAGAATCAAAATGTGGATGTGCACTTGCACTACCTGCAATTGGCCAGGGGGAAAAATGTTGCTGACACCTTTACAGTTTTTTTTGTGGACGTGAGGGCTGGCCCGGATGGAAGATTCTCAAATAGAAAATCTGGTAAATCTTGAATCTTCAATGCAGGGGGCGAAACCTTAATGAGTCTAGAACCAACTGTCAAGTTTCTTGGGGACCAGGATTGAGTATATTCTAAACATATGTTTGTGGAATCTTGTATATTCGATGTTCGATCCAGGGCAACACGATCTGACCAAATGCTGAAATCACTGTGTTTTACAGCATTTATGCAATAATAAGATCTATGATTGAAACACGTTCCTGTCATTGGCTTGGCTCAGTTCTTGTTTGGTTCAAACCGTATAAAGTTCGACAAGGACAATAACCCTTTCAAAATTGAGTCTGATTCCAAATTCATTTGGCCATGACAATAGCTATCTTCTCCAGTTGCTTTTTGAAATGCACAAGAAACTGCAAACGAGTAAACTTGAATTTGGTTTGAACTCGAAAGCTTTGTTAACTGGATATTCTTCCCTTACTTGAATTTCAAAAGTTGTTATTGGCGATGATGGAGCCAACTCAGACACACAACGCACACACACGTGGGATAGTTGCTTTGCAACATATGTTTCAATTAGACTGAACTAGCATGTCAGGAATTATGCACAACACTCGAGTTAACATGTAAATGCAACTGCGCAAGGACATGAATTAGGAATGAGTTCCTTTTCCCCAAGTTGATGTTTTGCTGAATTTCGCTGCCAAACAAAAATAGTAAACACAACATAATTACAGGCGCATTGAAGCTGCCAAAACATACTTCGCGCACTACTCCTGTCCTGAACAGTTGTGCTGTTTGAGCTGGAGCTGCCAAATTGCACTTTGCATACTGCAATGTGACTTTAAGTGCACTTCGCGCACGCCAATGTGACGGTCACACAGCTCGCAACTCCTAATCACCGTTGAGCTTAACTTCTGCTTGGTTAGAATTTGCATGGAGTTGAGTGTCCAGTTCATTTCTGTCACCCCCAGCCTGGCCAAAAACCTCAGTTCTTCCCAAAAGCCTGAGTATTTCAAGGGGGGGTAGCATATATTTATTTGTTTATTTATCCATTTATTTATTTATCTATTTATTTATCTGTGTGTGTTTATTTTTTTGAATTATTTAGTTGTTTATTTATGTAATGATTTATTTCTATTTATTTATTTTTTGGGGTGGGGACCCAACAAACACACCCATTTCAAGCCAACCAGGGGCATTCCCCCAGGAAGCAACGTATGGACGTTGGTTCATTGCCATAGGTATATCCCGCGAGTGCGGGGTGCGAACCATGTGTACAACTGGCGCCCTGGCTGTTAGGGTGCTTCGGCTTCGGGCTCCTTTTAGACTATCTCATCTATTCCCAGCCATACCCTTTGAGAATTAGACGGGGTTGTGTCACACCCCACTAAAAGTTTCATGTTTGGCAAGGGATCCGCGAATCTCCTCTAAATATGAGACACCCCTATTCATCAACAACTAGGGTTTGTTTTTACTTGGGCCAGGAGACTTGCCAGGGGCAGGGGGTTCCCCACGTCCCCACAACGGTTTGGATGCTTTTGTTCCTGCGATTTCCAAGGTTTGCACTGAACTTCAGAACCTCACAGCAATGAACAAACCTTGGCTCGAACATTCGCAGAAGGGGTCTTCTTATTTTCCCTTTGCAGCGGCCCTTTGTGCCTTGCGACGGTCGCTTTAGAGCAACCCTGTATGGAAGGGAAAATGTGTTTTTGTCGAACCCTGTTAATTCTCCTTGCAGATTTATGTTTTCCCGGTCCCTTTGTAGGGTGGTTGTCTTTTGAGGCCCCTTTGAAGTCGTCCATTGGGCGGGCCCCCTCTTTTACGAAAACCCCCACTGCTGGTATGCTGAAAAGGCTTCCGCAAGAGCATGCTCCTGCTTAGATGGTCCGGAAGTTCGCCAAGTGGCTATTAACCCCCTGTCAACCTGTCAGGGAACTGCCCTGCAAGCTTTTGTAATTTGCCCCCAGTTGAACCCCCCCGAAAACGCTTGTAACTAGGGCAATGAAGTCATTTGAGCGCTTGCTCCAATCTGACATTGACAGACACAGCTTGCCGTTTTCACACTTTGCCCTTTTGGTGTTCCGTTTTTTTCCTTTCAACCAGCACCAAGCGAACTGTTCGTAGTCTGAGTCTGGCTATGTCTCCTTTGCGGGTGCCTGGTGGGTTCTTTGTTTGCCAAACGTGGACAGGCCGGATCATTGAAGAACGGTGGGGAGTGGGCGGGCTGTTAGGCCCGCCCTTTTTGGACCTCCAAAAGCGGCAGTGTCAATGTTCGCCCGCCAGTTTTTGGGATGTGTGAAGGGACATGCGACATCCAGCGAGCCGCCTCCGCAAATGGGTTCTGGGCTCCAGCTAACATCACAGCAACGAACAATGTTTCGAGGGTATCGTTTTTCTGCGGGACCCTATCGGTTAATGGTAGTAGTCAGCTGCTGACATTACAATTTTACGTGTTCTAGGATCCTGTCCGGAATTGGGTAAGGCTACAAATCCATGCGTACCCCAATCCATCGTGGCTGGTTTTGAAAGCAATGATGGTTGATCAGAATGGACCAGGAATCAACCCCCGAACTCCGCGATCCGAGGTTTGTGTCTCCCGTGCTGAAGCGCAATCGCGCCACAATTGACCTTACACTGGAGGAGGGGATGGCGAATCATAGCGGGGCAATATAGCCTGCCAACGGGGGGGGGGCGGGTAAAATAAGCGATGCGAACCAAGAATGTTCCGTACTTGGGGATCCTTGCAATTTGCGCCAGCATAGCTGTGGGAACGGGAGCGCAGGTTGCCAATTTTCCATGACAATGAGTATGTTAAAAGGATATATGTACATGTCGATACCTCCATACCTGAAGCACTGGTATCGGATCTCTGGATTCAGATTAGTGGGAAGTTCCTCCAGGGAAAGGTAGTAAGGATTGCCCACGATTTGTATGAATCACGGAAAGGAGCTCATGTTGCAGGGACGTCATGGTACGGTATGGCGTCTTACTTGTTTGTTGGTCCCTGTCACCAACTCATCCCCGCCCAAACGTCTACCCCTCCACCTCCCCAATCTTGCCTGTTCTTGGAAGGAGTCTGCTTTGTCGTTGTTGTTTAGTTATTTTTGGTTTAATCCATGTTCAGGGCAGGAGAGGAACTGGGGGCCTGCAAAGAATATTGGTCATGGGTACCTTGTCCTTTGGGATTGGCAACCTTGATCTGTCTTGGTCCAGGCTCGGAAGCCTCGAACTGCCAGGGCCCAGGTCCCACACCTATGGGTTTGATCCCAAAGCTGTCGCTGTGGTTCGCACTCGGCTCACTGTGACTGTGGATGCGCAGTGCTTGCTCGTTGTTGCGACCTTCAGAACTTGTTTGGAAAGCAACCCAAGAAGAGACCAAGTACTGGAACCCCTTCTTACCCCCCAACCACGAAACCTGCAGAACATCCTCAAAGCATACCCGAACGCTCTGGGTAAGTGTTTCCGCACGAATGAATTTAGTGGAGACCCAGGAAATCACCTAGGGGTAGCCCCAACAGCCCAGGACATTTCCTGGAACCCTCCGGAACACTCTGTGAAAGTTGCTTCAGGCAGAGACCCCAAAACGTTCATTGGTGAACAACCCCCTAGTTGATTCTTACGAGTGTCTCGTTGTTGAAAGCGATCCTCTAGTCCGGGTCCAGCGTTCTGTGTCTTGTTGTTGCGATCATTTTGACCCACCAAGTGCAACTCAAATGGATTGGCTGAAGCTTCCCCATCTCTTGGCCTCAAGAATTGACATATACTTTTGGCTGGGGGTCCTTGCCACCCAACAACCATCGTTTCTTGCGAACGTGTGCATTGCCTTAGGGCTTTCTGAGGGTTCCTTAAGGTTCCTAGGAGAGCTGTTGTCACATTCGAGGAGCCCGTGAGCGGGATCCCAAGGTGCTGACTATTTGACATGCCTCGAGAGGAATGTAATACCCTTCAAAGAACATCAAAGAACAAACCATACGGATTTGACCGACAAACAACTTTGTCATGGATGTAATACCCGAGGTTCCCCAAGATTGTTGTTTGGGGAACCTCCAAAGAACATCAAAGAACGAACCTTCCCCGGACAACATCTGATTCGACCGACCACCCTCAAAGGTCAAGCAATCCCACCCTCCCGCGTATGGCCCACAGGAGTCCAGCCGGGGACTCCGCAAGAGTGTGAGCAATGTCGCCAGCAGCGCCTCTTGGCCGCCAGCTTTCAGCTGATACCGAAGCCAGCCGCTTTGGTATGTTCTAGGGGAAGCGTCCATTTCCGTTCTTTCCACTTGGTGGCTCCCAGCCATCCGGTTCCTTAGCTTTTTAGCCTTTTAGTGTTTGGTGGTGGTTTCTATTTAACCCACTAAAAGTTAAACTTTTAGCGAGGGATCTGAGGGCAGCCCAGTCCAGGGATCCTTCTTTGCAGGAAACTGTTAAAACAAAAGCAAGGGAAAGCAGCTGTTTGCTGAAAAGAACGATGGTTGAGAATGGGGATATGTGTTCAACGGGGACCCAAGAAATGGTGGCTATGTGGGTATGGGTCAAGATGAAACCAAGAGGAATTGGACCGCAGGTTTTAGCTGTTGTTTCCATTTACCAGGGCAACCCATTTTGGGGTTACCCTATGTTTGACCCACACCCATGTGATTTCCCTTTGAGCCAGCCCTTAAAAAGGACGCCCGAATTGATATCACATTTAGATGCACACACGCACACGCACACGCATGTATGCTCATGCGGATGCCCATGTACGCGCACGCAAGTGCTTGTACACAGAAACACCAAATGCAAGCAAACAAACAACAAATCGATCAACGAACAAGCAGCCAAGCAACCAACCGAACAAACTACCAACCCACCAACAAACCAACCAACCAACCAAGCAAGGAATCATTCAATCAGACAAACAAACAAGCAAACCAAGGAACGAACAAACTACGAGCAAACAAGCACACACACAATCAACACACAAACACGCCAATGAACAAATACACAAACAAGCAACCAACCACGCAAGCAAACAAGCAGCCGGCCGGCCAGCCAGCCAGCCAGCCAGCAAGCAAGCAAGCAAGCAATCACGCAAGCAAGCAAGCAAGAAAGCAGACACACTATGCATCAAGCAAACAAAAACACAACCACACAACACACAGACAGACGACCAAGCAAGCAAGCAATCAAGCCAGCAACCACAAACCTAGCAAGCAAGGAGGCAAACAAGCAAGCAACACAACACAACACAAGACAACATCACATAACATATCATAACACAGCACCCATGCAAACACGCACACACGCGATCCCAGATCGATTCTCCTTTCAGGTCCCTTTAAGAATGCTCTTTGATTCTTTCAGGGGGGTGGGCGCAACAAATCGCAACCTGCCACAACATTCGTGGGTTTACAGTTTTGCAACCCATGGGCCCAGGCTATGGACGCTGGCCTAGGTGCAGGCAAGGAGAGCATGGAACTAGCCTCAGTGAGTGTCAGCGTTGGTGTGAACACCCATTTACTTGGGGTTGGTCGGGCTGGTCATGGACCCCTGAATTGAAATTTAGGCGGGTTGTCACACTTAAATGAGGATGTTGATCATGGCACGTATGGCATATGGAATTTTCAGGGGTTCCGAAGCGAAAAGGTGATGCCCCCCCAAGCGCTGTTTGAATTCTCTGTGCTTTTTGCATTAGGAGTGAATTGCTAATTGCTACCTCCTGCGCCACCTGGCTCATGACCACTGCAATGCAGACCCCGCAAGAGGCCTTCCATGAAGAGAGGTGCACAACCCCATTTTGAGGTCCAATGCTATCGGGAGCCTTAGAATATGATGCAGCATTGGTCATGTGGCATATGGCCTCGGCGCAAAAAGGCTGTTCATAGGGTCTATCAGGCTATCGTGTATAACTACCTCCTTTTCATTCTTAATTTAATTGGTCCCTATGTGGCAACCTGAGAATTTGAGCTCTAGGCCCGGTCCAAGATGGTTTTCATTGCCCGAAGCTACCCTCGGGCTATGCAACCACTTTACAACCACTAAGCAGGGACTGGGTAGGCACAGAACGAGCCTTGAAGACCTGGGAATGACTGCCCCTAGTGCTCGGTAAGGCGAGTCCTCGCTTTGCCAAGCTACATGTTGGGTATGAATTACATGTACTCCAAGTGCCCTCTTTCCACAAACCATGGAAGTGCAAGCATCCCATTTCACGAGGACTGTGGTCTTCGAACACGTCCTTTCATGATTGTTGGAAAGACATACCCCGAAGAGATATCACAATGGCGCGAAAACTTGCTGGTGCTCAGTTGGGAATGAGGGAATGATCCCTATAAACCATCCCTTATGGTTTCCTTTAAGGGAATCCCTGGGTTCATTCCCACATTCTCTACTTATCGCACCAGCAAGGCAAGGGTTGTGGTCAACCCAGGTCCGGCTGCGGCGTGGCCTGACGATGGTCGGCCCAGGCATCGAGACAATGAGGCGGGAAACAGCACCGAACATTCCGACACATGGGTTTCTTGGTGGCTCCAAGCCATCCGGTTCCTTAGCTTTTTAGCCTTTTAGTGTTTGGTGGTAGTTTCTATTTAACCAACTACAAGTAAAACCTTTAGCGGGGGATCTGAGGGCAGCCCAGGTTTGTCAGAGGACCCTCCAAAAGCGGTCTCCCTTTGGATGTTGCGCAGAACGTTGACAAGCAAGAGCATTTCCCGCCAGAGAGAGAGAGAGAGAGACAGAGAGGGCGAGAAAGAAAGAGACTATGTATACATATGTACCATATAAATACCTACCAACCTACCTACCTACCTACCTACCCACCTTCTCAATCCAGAAACCCTTTGTGCTCAAAACAGCAGCAAGTTTCCTGAAGTGGAAACGGGGCTTCGAGGTTATTGTCTGACTTGGTTCAAAACGAAACGCAAGTCCCGCGTGCTCCACGACTATACCCTGCAAAGTAGCAAGCACTACATACGTACCTAGGTATGTACGTACACACACACGTACACACCTACACACATGTACGTACTGGACACATGAATACGCACGTACATAAGTATATTATATATATATAATGGACCCCCAAACGAGCACTGTTTGCTCATACAAGCACTTTTTTCTTGTTCGAGCACTGTTCTAGGCAAAAGATGCAATTCGAGCAGAAATCTACTTCCGTGGGATTTGGACGCTTCGGAGTGTGCGAGTTGTGCTGCCACCCCCACACTCTCCGTGTAGCAGGGGGTGGGGCAGTTGCTCGAGCTGTGCTGTTCGGGCAACAAACGCGTGTTTAGTGGAAGCCTAATAAACCTGCACCTGTTTGGCGCATTTTGGCATGTTGGGGGCAGCTTGCAACCCGCAACCTCGAGCGCAATTTCCCGCAACTCGAGCGCAATTTCCCGCAACCGAGCACCGTTCTCAAAAATGGCAGTGGGTCCGTTGTCCCGCGGCCAAAAGCGCGCAAAGATATCTTGGTGCTCGAAAATGAAGATGCGCTGTTCACTGTGCACAAATGTGACATATTGTGGCACGCTTGACGGGTTTGTGTGAGGTTTGGCGCCTCCAACATGCAATGCAATGCGCAAGCAAAGGCGCTTACTCGAGCACTTATTTGGCCTCGAGCGCATTCTGCCTAAACGAGCGCTTTTCAGAGAAACTGGCACTTTTCCCCTCGAGCAGAAATTTGTGCTCGTTTGGGGGGGCCAGGTGTGTGTGTGTGTGTGTGTGTGTATGTATATATATATGCATATTACACATGTATATATATATATACATATATATATATATATAAATATGTATACATGTGTTCGACATTGCTAGCAGAGCTGCCTCCGCGTTTTTCGAGGATCCTGAGCTCGGAGCTCGTGAAGCGGCGCTCCGCGCCGGCGCGGCCGGAGCCGGAGGTTTCGGCGGTGCAGGAGGTGCCGGAGACGGAGCCGGAGCCGGAGGTGGCGGAGGCGGAGGCGGGAGTTTTCTCGGAAAATGCGCCGAAAATGGCGGAACCAGGACAACCAGGAGCTATATACATATACTGGGCTAGACAAAGGATACTCAAAGTGAAGCAAACACTAAAATATACATTCCATCACCCTAATTCTAATCATGAGTAGTATATATTTAGGCATAGATGGGGCGTCAAGAACATGGGAAGCCCTGAAGATAGGTGTCCTAAACTAGGTTAGTTTGGCTAAAAGTAGATGGGTTCTCCTGGTTTAGATGGGGTTATTTCCATTTACCACGGCCGTCTATGTTTTCAATAGGCCACCTATGCCCCCGGAGATTATTTCTTAGTAGTGCCCAGCCATTCAAGTTTTCGACTTTTAGCAAGGGATCTGGAAGCAGCCCAGGTGGGGTTGGTCCCCCCCTCAAAAAAAACGGAACGCGGGTTCTCAACTTGGGTGTTTCTCGAAATGGACTCTGCTAAGATTTGATTGTTTTTTCCCCCAAACAGTGTGTCCACTGTGAGGGATTCTTACGGTAAGAGTAAAGGACCGGTGCTAGATCGAGGTGCCCGGCCTGGCCGCGAGCATTTTGCGTTGTATTTATCGCAAAATCGTGATGTTGTCCGATGTCGAAGTGCGTTTTGACAGGCTCGCACACAATGAGGCCCCCGAGTTTGTCCGCGAGCACTTTGCGTGGTATTTACCACAAAATCGTGATGTTGTATGATGTCGAAGTGCGTTTCGACTGCGCAGGCTCGCACACAATGAGGCCCCCGAGTTTGTCCGCGAGCACTTTGCGTGGTTTTTACCGCAAAATCGTGATGTTGTCTGATGTCGAAGTGCGTTTCGACACACACAACGAGGCCCCCGAGTTTGTCCGCGAGCACTTTGCGTGGTATTTACCACAAAATCGTGATGTTGTATGATGTCGATGTGCGTTTCGACTGCGCCGGCTCGCACTGAGGCCCCCGAGCTTGTCCGCGAGCACTTTGCGTGGTATTTACCGCAAAATCGTGACGTTGTCTGATGTCGAAGTGCGTTTCGACTGCGCAGGCTCGCAGAAAATGAGGCCCGCGAGTGTGGCCGGGAGCATATTGCGTGGCACTTGCCGCATGTCGACTGCGCAGGCCGGCAGAAAATGAGGCCGGCGAGTCTGGCCGCGAGGTAGTTACCGCAAAATCGTGATGTTGTATCATGTCGAAGTGCGTTTCGGCAACACTGCGCAGGATGAAGTTCGTGTAAGTTTAATGTTGGGCAAATATGCTCTTCGGTTTGCTGGTGGGTGGAAGAGCTAATCCCCAACCACGCGCTTGTGTTGCGACTGGTTGTTGCGACTTGCTCTCGTAAATCTAGGCCCGTTGGCAGTGCGTCGCGTGCCTCAGTCGGCTCGTTGCGCGGCATGGAAGCCCCAATTCCATGTTTCACGCATGAAGATGCTGGAAACCACCCATTCCATGCTGTTGTCGGTATACAAACGACCGCAGGATGCCCATGTCTTTCCAGCCCGTGGCCGCCGGGTCAGCTTGATTGTTTTCGCCCGTCGCTGTTTGGGGTCTCTTGCGGGATAATTTGGTTTCCCTTGGAACAGGACTGAAGGCGGGGAGTTCAGGCATTTGTTTGGTTTTTTTAGACTTAGGCTACCATTGTTGGAAAACCGTATGGCCAAACCACTAAAAGTTAAACTTTTAGCAGGGGAGCAGAAAGCAACCGAGATACAGTCATGTATCCCAGTAGCTACATACCGCTTTCCATTTGAGGGGGTTGTTGCCATACCTGTTGCTCCACTTTCTCGCTAGTCTGCGAAGAACTTTGCCCGTACCAAAGGCAAAGCTTTGAAGGTCCTCAGCCACCATCAACAACTCTTCCTGCGAGCTTTCCCTGGGTGGTTTCAAGCGTGCAAGTTTGAAAGATGAGCAACCTCTGGAGCGTTCAATTCGGGATTTCTCGGTTGGATTGGGCTGCCGGAGACCACCGGAGACGAGGAGCCTGAACCGGCGGAGGTCGCGGAGCCGGAGGCGGCGTCCCCGGCATCGCCGGCGTCGCCGGTGCCTGTCTTCCAGGGGTGAGAAAGAGACCCGGCTGCAAGCCCCAAGTGGGTGCTGTTGGGTTCTCGAAGTTTCGTTTGGCGGGCAATCACTTAAGACTACCATTCAGAGGATGCCACTAGGTCACTAGAGTGCCTTTATGGTCATCCAGGCAATGCGTGACACAGCTTTCTGCGATGAAGTTGTGCCTTTCGTTCAAAAGCTGCTTGAGCAGCAAGTTGCGAACTTGTTGAAACCAAAGAGTGTTTTTTCTTCTCAGCGCCTGTTTCTCAACACCGAGGAGGTTTGGGGTTGTAGGACAAACTCCAACATTTTCAGAATTTTCCAGGGGAACGTAAACCTTCACAGAACCGAACTCTGTTGTTTGCTGAAGTGAGGCCTTTTCCAAAGCGAAAACGATTTCAACAGAAAAAACGGCGCCGCTTGGTTTAAGTAGGTATTATGGTTGTCCGGTGTGTTAGAAAAGAAAAAGATCCATGGTAGGGGGTTTGTTGCTTTCCTCTTTTTGCTCTTGCCATTGTGTTTGGGTGTCCTTTTGAATTGAACAGCCGTTTGTTTCCCCTTGCGGTTTTCCAATGGCCGAGTGAGGAGAGGCTTGCTGGCAGCTGCTTGGCGCTTGGCGCCGCGCGTTTGCCATGAATTTGAGCTCCGGCCGCTAGCTTTAGGGCACAGAGAGAGCTGCAAGGGTGATGTCGGCCCACGGACTCCGAGTTTTGATTTGCATATAGACTGGGTGAATTATAACGATCCCACAGGACCGAATTCACCCCAAATGGTGGTTTATGTGGGGAATAGCCCCCCACCACCTCATTTCAGGTTGGTGAAATATTATAATTCACCCAGACATAGAGCAGTTCGAATCCGCTGATTTGGGGTATCGCCATGGAAGGGTCATGGGAAATTTCATTCGTGTGGCACTTGGCCACTCCGACAAGTTCATGGCACCTGTTGACCATCGGGCTGCCATTGCTTTCAATTCAGATCTTTCACCGCCGTGCGCTCACAAAGGTTGAATGGCAACTTTAGAGACGCTTCCCGGCTTTCCGGGCCGAGCAAGTTGAACCTAGGTCAGTTTGGTTGGACATAGATGGAACCAAGCCGATCTCAGTTTGGTTCTATGCAGTCACCAGTGCCATCTAATGTCAGACCGCTTTCATATTTGGGGTCGCTCTTAGACAGTTGTTTCCAAATTCAGAATCGCGTGACTGTTTCGAGGTCGCTTGAATGGACAGTCCTTTTTGCGGAAAAAGCACGTGCAAACAAACAACAACATCAACATATATATCAAAGCCTTGGTCTTTTGCTTGGTCAAGATTGACAAAAGGCCATACAATCGCACAACGCGAGTGGCCCCGCAAGGTCTTTTTTAGGTTCCGCTTTAATTTCAATCTGCTTTCGCGGGTTTCAAATTCTATTATCAAAGCCTCAGCCTTAGCCTTTGCTTTTGAAGGCTGGTGGGTGGGTGGCATCTGAGAGTAAATCTCGGAAGTCTTGGCAATACTAAGGCAGTACCGAATTTAGAACTGGCAATATATACTAAATTAAGTACGCTGATTCTGAGAATCTCAAGTCTTGGCAATAGCAAGCTTAGAATTGGCAATACCAGGTTAAGTACGAGGAGTCTGAGATCAAGTCTTAACAATTACTCAGTTGTTTGAATTGGCAATAGTAAATAAGAACGCGAGACTCTGAAAGTAAGTAGTGGTACTATTTAATTTAGAGTTCTGAATTAAGTAATCCGAGTCCAAGTCCACCCCACGCCCCCCGTTGTGCCGCTAATTGCTCCAGATGACTGGTGGCACTGTTGGGGGCTCTGTAAGAAACCAATACATTTCTTGGTGGCTCCCAGCCATCCCCCTCGCTTTTTAGCTTTTTAGGGTTTAATGGGGGTTTCCATTTAACCCACGAAAAGTTAACCGTTAGCAGGGGATCTGAGGGTCCAGATTTGTGACAGGTTTGGAGCAGCCCTGTTTTGTTTTTTGTTTGAATGATTCCAGCGTTGAAGCGCTCGAGTTGCTGGGGCCTGAGAGCACTGAGTGGTCACTAGGACGCCTCAGGCTTTGCAGGGCTCCCTACATTCCCCTTTTGCTTGTGTTGGACACGTGCCAAGTCAAATGGGAGTTCGTAGCGGGATTCGATGGGAGCCCTGTTGTTTCATGGCCTTGCGGCATTTGCATTGCTAGGTTTGAGCACTCTTGGCCTGGGAGAGATGCGTTAGCTTTTGGTTTGCGACCAATTCCACCTGGTCGCTGCCCAAGTTCCGAGGTCACCCAGTTCTCTATAGAGCCTGAGTGAGTGAACCTGTGAATGCAAGCAGAGGACTGCGGCCACATGGCCTGTGTGCCCAGGCTCACACGGAATGCACCAGCCGGTCCGCTTAGCGCATGGCACAGAAAACCTGCGAGAGCTTGGTGTTGATCGCTTTGGCGCTTGGCTCGACCTCGATGTCTCTCCGAGTGGGCGTATTTCTGCCTGCTTTTATACTCATGTTGAGAAGCGGGAGTCAAGGGAGTACTGGGTGAACACCAGCTAGCCTGTATTCCTCTCAACATGTCCCCTCACGGAGACAAGAATTCTCTCTAACATCGGATCCCCCAGTTGTCTCCTCTCCAACAATCATGGATTTGGAGAGTGGTGTTCCAAAACCCTGGCGAGGGCTTGCTTGGTCAATTGGGTTCCCAAAAATGGAGATTTGGACCCGGCGCTGTATATTTCTGGAATCAGAGGTACCTGTAAGGGCACTTGGTTGAGCCAATTCTCTGCCCATGGAAACCCATCTCTGGCGCTAAAACGAGCTGGTTGAGGGAGGGTCTTCTTCGGCGGCAGGTTTCTTAGTTCAGGATTGGGAATTATGGGAAATTCACCCATATAGGTGGTATGCAATGGCTTCAAGGAAACCTCAAACGCTTTGAGGGATGTTGGGTATCCAGACCTCCAAAAATCCCAACGGTCATTGTCTGAAGAGAAGCGACAACTTTTCAGATGATACACTTTAAGTTACATAGAAAATGATGCGGCAACAAAAATTAGGTGTGTATGAACATGCTGAGATAGCAGTATTTAATACAACATTTCCTTGCCAAGCGACATGGAATAAATTGCCAGATTCCCACCGCAAACTAATTGCAACAAGTCCGAAGTGAGAAGCACAAATTGTTTAGAATCGTTTGCAAGAATGGTCAGAATACTGGGGCACCGAAAAGGAAAGCCACAAGCCTCCATTTTGCACATGCCCAATGTAGCCACTATACATCCAAGGTTTGTGACGGGCTCCCACAATAGCGGCGATGCCAATCCCAATAGGAAGGCCTTCTTTCGGGGGGCCAGGTGCGTTTTTTTGGGGAGGGAGGGGGCCTGTTTTCCTTTTATTGGGAAGGGTTCCCCTTTTTGCCCTTCCCCTTAGCGAGACGGGCTGATTTTTGGCTTCGGCCGGGATGTGGGCTCCACTCACTCCAATTGGGGGGGTGGGGTCTTGAGCAATGTGGCGGAACCAACCAAAAAAATCAGATGCCCTTTTTTGCCATGGCCACTGGGCATCTGAGTCTGGGGGGCGCTGACTGGAGGACTTACCTCCGCCCTCCACGGAGTATCCGCTGGCGGCGCTGCTGGGAGACGTTGACCTGGCAGTGGCCTCCAGCAGAGGAGCACAACCCAGAGACGACCTGAGGTCCAAAACGCGCTCTTTAAGGGCAACCTTCCATTTTGGGTCTCCCAGTAGTGCCCTTTTACCCTTTTTTTGGGGAGGGTTCCCCTACTAAAATCGACTACAGAAAAAAGGGTACCCTTATTCTAACCTCTCTACCGGAGGACCTAGATTTGCTTAAGAAGATTTGTTATTTCCCCCATTGGTGTCAAAGGGAATCTATCGGACGTGAGATATTGGCATCCGCATTGTCAATTATTGTTAAGCAGCCGACGCAAGGGGCCTGGTTTGCGGGGGCCCACCCCGAAAGTTGATATCTCAAGTGACACTCAAGCCAGATGCGGTTGCAAAGCAGGGCGTGGCTTTTAAAGCTTAGAGATTGGATCTGCTCAGAGAGCAAACTTTCGGAAAAGACGCCTCCGAAAGTCAGCCATCGGTTTTATGTGTGATTTCCTGCTAAGAACGATCCCAAACGGTTTCCTAGTGTTTAGCGTTTTTCCGGTGGTTTCAAAATGCACCCTTAGAATAAGTGAAATTAGTAGGTGCGAAAATGACAGGAGGGGGAGTCTGACCCAGATTCGGAGCCCATGAGGCACCCAAGGGAGAAATTACAACTGGCGAAAGCTGCCAGAATTGGCAGGGACTGCTCGAAATTTGGCTCACACAGCCTCTTTGTTCGTCGCCTCTGAAGCGTTCCGAAAGGCTTCGTTTTTTTCAGGAAACCCACAAACCAGGTGGATTCCATTTGTCTTCCCATGTCAGAGGCAACCCCAAAAGGCTTTGGGTTTAACAATGTGGCAATGAACCATTGGGAACCTCCAGAGATGGCCGCCAAAGGGCGCCCGATTCAGATTCACACTGATGTGGTGATATGGCCCGATTGGGCCCACCCCAGGAGACCTTGGAAACCGCGCCGGCCCGGTGCACTTGAACTTCTGCTTCCGGGAGCGCTCGGGGAGGGAAAAGCTGGGGAGTGGAACGAACGAATTCGGGACGCGTCTGGTTTTGGGAAAGCTCTCTTCACTTTTTTTTTTTTGAACCCTTTGCAAAAGGACTTGGTGTATCAAACGTCTGTTAAAGTCTGTTTCCTTGGGTCGTTTGCCAGCTTTCGGAGCGTCTATGATGGGGAACACCCCCTACACACTTCGTGAGGTTGCCAGTCCCGGGGTCAAAACCGCAAAATAGTGAGCCCAGGGGTGGTTCATTTTCCCCAGGGACCCTGTAATTGAAGTGACTTGCGATTTCCAATACACCCAACGCACCCTCAGAGAAACAACTAACTTAGGGAGTTCCAACTATATGGTCACCTTAAAAAGGGTATATACTGAGGTTGTTGTCGGGCGGTAGGGGTGTAGGGTAGTGTAATATTCCACCTCAAAAAATAGGAACATGTAAACTTCAGACTTTGGGGCCATGCCGCCAGAGCCTAATCCCAATAGGTTCAATGAAACGACACTTAGAATATGTTCCACTTGGGCATGTAATATTTGTTTTAGACGCGTACCAGGATACCTACGAGGTTGGTCCCTCAGAACCCGACAGACGTAAGAGTCTAGCTTTGAACGTAGAGATTCTTCGATTCCCCATGGTTCAGTCATTTGCACGGGGAAATCGGTGCGTGGTTTTTCGTTTCCCTCTTTTCGTGTTCTGTTTTTGTTTCGATGATCGGCTGTTCAAAGGTCTGATTGTCGGCCACTTGGACCTCTCCCTGTTTCCGCCGAGTTGTCATTTCGCAGGTTTGCGTCAGAAAAAAACTTCGGTGTGTTGAGTGGTCGGGCTGACTCAACCCCAAAGCTGCAAGCATGGTTGCTGTTTGGTGCGGGTCTTGCGTGAAGCTAGAAGAGCGCGCACCTGCGGTTTCACTGTTCAATGGTGGTTCTATAGTTTTGTTCCCATGGTAGCCCCTGCAATTGTGCAGGAATTATCCTCGAGTTTCTAACATTGGCTTGTGGGGGGAATCTACTTGATTGTGCGTGAGAAGCCCTCTGGCAATTCTGGAGAGCAACTTTTCAGTGAGGAAGCCTCTAATTGAATGTGTTACATCGGGATACCATTCCTGAGCAAATACCAAGGCGTCCTCAATTATTGTGTTCGCTTCAAGAAGGC